CGAAGAGAGTCACTGGGCTCCCTTTTATTATATTTTTTATTAAGACAGCTGAACAACTGTTTTGTTTTTATTCTGTACGATATGTTCATTTCAGAGACCAGATGTTAGCCTATCTCGCCCGGTGCCATATGCATGCCAAGTTGTCAGATACGGTAGAGGGTGCCCAGGTCGCAGAGGACATACACATAGACTCTGGTGTGGAGGGATTCATGTCAGTCGTTACATCCCTCAAAGTTAAGCTGGACAGAATGGAAGGGGAACGAAAATAACTAGCATTGTCATCAAATGTAATGCATTACTGAGGGACCAGCTATTTAATATACTGGGATTTTATCGATAAAAATAAATTGTCCCCGAAAATTCTGGAAGAACTTAAATACGTATATAAAAATCTCGATACAAAATCCCATGCGCGTGTCTCTTAATTAGACAAGGCCTGTTAGGCATCAATGTTAAATAAATTAAGTTCGCAAAGAATATTTCAAAATAAACAAATTGATATTAATATTTGACAAGTAATAGTTATTATTTGTGGTGATTTTTTCCTTCATCTCGTCTCAGAATTATACAATGAAAGATGCGAAGAAAGCTTCTTTTGCATGGAATTATTCATCTTCCCGAGGCAAGGGAGTTAACTGACTATAAAAGTGGAAACTGGACTTTTATAGTCCGTTAACTCCCTTGTCTCGGGAAGATGGGAATTATTAGGATAATCGTATAAGGCTCGATCAAAGGGTACAAGGTTTATATTTTTTCTATTTATGGAAATAAAGAATAATGTAATATCTTGTGATATCAAATATTTAAAAGGTGATAATAGTATGCAAAACGAGAGAAGTAAATCGTGTATGTCTAGCGCAACCTGGTGAATCAGTTGACATCAATGTTCGCTCATTCAAACAGCCAAAACGAATTCCAAGACCATGTCAATTCCTCCTACAAATGTGTGCTTATATATCTAATAGAAATGTGATCCATTTTGTAAAAATAATAAATTCAGTATTAGTAAAGATAAAATGAAATGGTTTTTCATTAATCGGTTTATATGAAATTACAAAATTGAATATTACCATTATTACACTTCAAACGAAATATTATCAGTATTCTTGTATTATTTTCAATTTATTATTTTGTTCAAGTTATAGATTTTTAAAAAATATAATGGTCCATACATACAAATACACACACAGAATAATAAGTTTAATTACGTTCATTTACATCATCACATGCCACAATTTCACAAACATCTTTCATAAATATATCTAATAATTTCACAATTATATTTCATAAAATAATTATTACATTGACTAGACTAAGAATTGTAATCAATCGTAATTATACGAAATTTTCTTTATTAAATAAAAGTGATAATTGTTCCTTGTCTTGGTCTGACCGGCAGCCAGGAAAACGAGCGCAAAAGAGAGGAACCTTTTGGTAATTAGCGAGGGTCGAAGACCAAACTAGCCAGTGGTATACTTTAGCTCCATGCACACATTTCAGATCAGTTACATATGTGTTGATGAAGCACATTGCATCATATTGTAGGAAAATCCATTTTTCGACTTGCATTTTTAAAAGGACGTGATTTGCATGTGATCCTCCCTGAGGCCCGTATGCTGCTTTTGTGAATGCATTCATGCATGATCAATCCGTGTAAAAAAAATGATGAATAACATAGCTTTATAAGTAATCAAATTTGAACAGTATGCTACACTTTGTTTGTCCTCTTGAACAATTATCAGAGATATAAGTCACAGTTTAATGTATTTGTTGTTTAATGCCACAGTCAACAACATTCCAGCGATATCACAATAGCATGTAAATATTCGAGCCTGGGACGTCATTGTTTACATGCTATTTTTAATATTAAACACTTTATGTAGCCTAGAGAGTAACAAAGAAAGCCAAAGGTCGCCGAACTTCCAGCTATGTCACAGTGGCATGTGAATAATCGAGTCTGACACAGGCAAATAAATGACTGAAATATGGATAAATGAGCTTTCAGATTACTTCTAATTTGTATCTGTTCCTGTGCTGCCCCAAGTGTGTAACACGCGCTCATCCAATAGCCAGCATAATTTCCTTTCATGTTTTCATAGGGGCACAGGTGGCCCAGTCGTCTGGGGCGCCGCGATTCGCTGTGCAGAGTTGCATCCCTTGGACACGCGAGAAACCTATGATAGTGGGTTCGAATCCCGGTTCTCCCCGATTATGTTTCTAGATTTGTCAGCACCGTGCTCGTGGGTTTCACCAAAGTGGTAAATGTCTGAGACATAATCGGGGCGAACCGGGATTCGAACCCACAATCATAGGTTTCTGGCGTGCCCAAGGGACGCAACTCTGCACAGCGAATCGCGGCGCCTTAGACGACTGGGCCACCCGTGCCCCCTATAACATAAACTGAATAGCCTCAGTAAACGTTATTACGTTGTTTATATTGGAATGTATATTGTGACTGAACTAGTGCGTATCTTGTTTGAATGGCCACTCGATAATATGTGTCGGTGGGAATACTATACTCTTCAAAAAAAGAAAGAAACGCAAAGCCAGATTTGTGTGAGGTAGGAAAATACATTTAGAACCGTACAAGGTATTGAGTCAAAATTTTGTGGAGAGAACACTTGTTGATTGTAGTCATCTCAGTTATCAGTACACAGGAAAAGTCAAAGGTGAAGGTCAGCTACCATCAATAAGGCGTATGTCCCCCGTTGGAATCGATAGCTGCCTGACATCTCCTGTCCATGGAAGAGACGAGTATGCGAATCACATCCTGGGAAATGGTAGCCCACTCGGCCTGCATAGCAAAAGCCAACTGCTGCAACGTCTGGGGTTGTGGTTGACGTCGGCGTAGCCGTCTATCTAATTCATCTCAGAGATGCTCTATTGGGTTCAAATCCGGGGATCTGGAGGGCCAGGGGAGAACATTAACGTTGTTGTTGTGTAGACAGGGTCGAGTAGGGGAAGGCTCCTATGTGCCGTGTGCCGGGAGCCACAAGGAAGTGCCAGTAAGCGTGAACCCAGGGGAGAGTTAAGTTACATAGACTGGCGGCAAGTCTCCCTCGCCAGATCCTTTATTACGAGGCTGTAGAAATACGGGACGCCCCTAACTCACATCCGTCTCCAGAACTCTCACGCCGACTTCTTGAGATAATTAAAATATTTTTTCAATGTTCTGCACTTTTTAATATAAATATAGTGTTTGTCAGAAAAGTTAGTTACATAGTTTACTTAATCAATTCTGGTTTATTTACGGTAGACGAATTTATATGACCATAGTGTTATTGCCAAACCCTTCAGTCAATTCTAATTGATCCAGACTGCACAATATCAGGGGAAATCATCATTTCATCTCTGTAGTGTTTTGGTACCGTTAACAAAGGCGAAAATATTGCATTAGTGTGTCGCATCATGTATGACGAACAATACACAATAAATTACTAAAAATACAACATCTGGCCGATTCAAATAATGGGGATTGCTGATTGTAACAACCTGTAAATACCATGGTAGGTGAGACGCCGTTTATGCTCCTGATTAGAATCGGTCGTCAGCAACCCATGCATGTCGTAAAAGGCGATTAACAGGATCGGGTTGTCAGGCTCGCTGACTTAGTTGATGTATGTCATCTTATTCCAATTGCGTAGATAGATGCTCATGATGTTAATCACTGGATTGTCTGGTGCAGGTTCGATTATTTACAGACGCCGTCATATAGCTAGAATACTGCAGAGTGCGGCGTTAAACAACAAACAAATCATCATTTATCACCATGCATTTGGTGAAGTCTACCGTAAGGACGAGCGCAGGATTCTCTGGAATGCTGAGAACAACGCAATCTATGTGTACAAAGCTTTGGAATTCCCTTTGCCTCCAACATTTGAGAGAATTACCCTATCGCATCAGCATTGCAATTGCACATTCATCCAATGGGCTTTTGACGTTCAATGTGTATTGTGTAGTACAGTGGAATATCTGCTTCGGACTTCATTGCGTCATTGTTTTGACATCCAGGTGAAATGAACGTTTTACTTATTGTGGGGCCGAAAGTTAGTCTGATTTTTACAGAGGCCTGTGTTAGGAATATTATAGAAGTATTATTATGAATCATAGTATATTCGGCACCATTGATATCGCCTTGTATTACAAATGCTGATTAGTTAAAGTCCTGTCCCGACAGATTCCACTGTCCACGGTAATATTTGTAAATGTAATAGGTGTGAAGAAAATATGTCCATATTAGCGATAGGGTAGCTCAGTGTCTCAATCAACGCCTAAACTGTCGAGTTCGATTTCTTACATCGGGGTAATGTTTCGTTTGAAGCCCATTCCTGCAGCCCCCCGACGCCGTGATGTAGCCGTTGAAGCGTATAACACCATACACATGCATTAAGTGCACACAATGAACTCAAACTTTGGGGTACATGATAACAAAGACATTTATTCATAACAGAATAATAAACACATATAATATATCCATTGTAATAAAAAAGGTGTGTTAGGTATACCTGCTTCAAATAGCTTCACCAGCAAATATTAACACACTCGGGATACTGTGACACTCAATCAACCGAGTCACCGAGTCCGACCACCCAGTCCACGTAAGTCGCCGCTTACGACAAGCACAGGTTACTTGAGGCAACGCCTACTTCTTTAGGACTCCCCATAGGGTCACATCAACATTTAAGGCCATTAATACATTTATATTTGTTATTCAACGCCGCACTCAGCAATATTCCAGCTAATGACCACGGGTCTGTAAATAATCGAGTCTACACCAGACAATCCAGTGATTGACATCGTGAGCATCGATCACGCAAATGGTATACGATGATATGCATCCCGTTAGTCGTCTTTTACTACAAGCATGGGTTGCTGAAGACCAGTACATGTACTAACCCTCGCGTTCTTGGGGTCGTGATTACATAATTAAGAGAGTATTAGATATAAACACAGAGCAAGTAGTACAAATGACACAATTATTCAAATGAACAGTTCACTCATTCACGTTGCCCTAGCGACTGTCACTTCTGTCCATTACACATACGTATGGAAGTTCCTTCAGACGACACTGAACTGAACTTTATATACATTTGATGGCTAATGGTGGTATTAGACTAGATGTACAAACATATATCTACAAAATTGAAAATATGGAAAAGAGTAAACTAAGTGAAGAGCCTTTGACTTTAAGTGAAGTGATTCATGTATTAGGGGTGTTCTGTAAACGTCAGATCTGAGAATAAGTTTGTCGGCCTTTGACACAGTGCATGGGTTGTGTCTGTCTGGACTGCTTGAGTACTCAGCTCAATGATGCCCAGTTTGCCACTGGGTGCGTGAGTAGATCTCTTGTCCCCAACAGTGATAACTCACCGGATGCCTTTTGTGTAAGTTCTATTCTTTGAATGACATTGTTATAAACTTGTCACAGCTGCTGCTGCTTAATAAACCGTAAGGTGCAATATATAGTTCTTTGTATTGTATTTATATTCAGGTTGGTATTTCTGCTATCCAAAGTGTGCAGTGAGGCCTTCTTATTCTTTATAGTAATTTTGGAGACAAAAGTGCTAAGTTTATGAACACACAAATGTCATTTTAGAAAGTGGTCATATGTAACAAATGTTATATTTTGGATGACACTTTCTTAGTAAAGTTCATAGCTTTCGGCCATGGGAGCTGTGCCAATTTACACTTGTCAGAACGGTACACAAAGTACGTGATCTAGACTACCAGTAGTCGTACTTCCATTTTTGCGTAAGCCTCGGTGGCTGAGTGGGTAATTAGATAGGGACTCAACCAAACAAAGTGCGAGAATTTGTACTTTACTAAGAAAGTGTTGTCCCAAATATGACACTTGTTACATATGACCACTTTCTGAAATAACATTTGTGTTTTAATGTGTTGTTTAGTTTCGGTTGTTTTGCTTGTACATTCCAGGAAGTGGGCAGTGTTCCCATATTTATAATGTATTGATTACAATCTAGTAGTAAATAGGGTTCAAACACGACTTTTATAGTTAATTTAGTCCCATGAATTGCACACTACATGTTCTTAATTTGCTGCAATTTCGCGTATTTGTTCATTGGAATATTTAGCTCTCTTTCACTTATCCAGCCTTGTAATAAGTGGATAATTTGTCAATTGCTTTACGCTAATTTCTATTAAACAAGTTTTCTATGGCCTTCCACTAAGCACAAACATCAAATATTCAATATTCAAACAACATATCTTCTTAATGTCACTCACTCATTCACTCCAGTATCAACCTTTCACTCACTCTTATATCAACCCGGTCCTCATTTTTTGTAATAGATATACTCTTATGTACTCATAACGCTTTCTCTTAAATAAGCGCATATCCAATCTGTCATGAATCTGAAACAAAATAACGTACTAAAAGTTACATACATGACAACTGGACAAAATTGTAACTACATACGTGTATGAACAATTGGTTCAAAATCCATTTACAGCATTGTTAGATGTGAGAAGAAATATACTACAAATAGGCCTATACATGCATGTATGTAGGAGAATTGCTCACAACTATGCGAGATGTTTATTTGCGCTTCTCAAAACTGTTAACGTGGCAAGCATTAAATATTTAAGTCAAATTTCGAGATAACGATATGTTATATCGTGTCTAATTAGACAGATGCGGGTAAATTTATATGTATTTGTATAGGCGGTCGCGACCACAGACAAGGTTCGACATATCGGTACATTCGACAAAACACGGTTCGAGTATACATGTTGAAAATGCAAAAGTAGTATATTTACACAAAATGGTTTCAACGAAGTGACAGTCATTTAAGGATTACATGACTTCGACCTACATGACTTCGACCTGCATGACCTCGGCATTTTCTCTCCTCTTTAATATGCTGACAAATCCTTTCATTTATTATTGGTATACTCATATCCACGAACATCACACTCACTTACTCACTCACCCACTCAAGAATTACATACCTGTGTGCCTTGTTTCGAAATGCTTTCTGGCATGGTAGAAAATGAAATCTTCCACCACTTTGAGGAAATAGTCGTTCCTGAAAAATATATGAATCGAGTGACAGCAATTTTTGTGATGGCTGAAGCCTCATGTTTCTGTCACCCGTACAACCATTAGGACAGAACTATGTATTACAACTTACAATCATCAGTCACATACCTTGGACGTCCAAATTGTAGTACAACATCGGGTAGTATCAGATTTCTTTTTGTGATGTCATAAAGTCTGAAAATGCAAATTAAATAAATCACTACATCATTTCTGTATATTTGTTGGTAGTGTATAGCGTAAAAATATCGGTCAGTTGTGGAAACAAAGCTTATTCGTTCTTAATACGCGCTTGATTCTTATATAGTGATGACAAACAAACAGAAGCTTCTTGATGGAAAATTAAATATGTTCCTTAAGTTTATTTTATCCTATACTTACCTTGGACCTCTTGTCCTCGTCACCAAATGTGTCTCCATGGACTGCATCAGTATGGCATATCCCTGAAAGCAGTCATTCTATCATTAAGTCATGTCATGTACTCTCAGTATAAATTTACGTGTAAAAGTTTGGATCGAAAATATCTACATATATGGGCATATCCGCTTTAGACAGAGGCCGGTTAGACAAATGTCACTGTAGTATGAACATACCGTTTATCTGTAAGCAAATTTAATATGTAACTCAGTATTTCTGTGTTGAGATGGTTATCAGTATTTCCAAACACTGGCAAATTAATAGGCGTTTTCAACATTCGTGAAGTCAAATTAGAGTAATATTTACAACAGCATTGAGGTGGGACATGGCCCTGCTCCTCTCCAGCTTCTTTCGTTGAAAATAAAGCACATGTCTCCTGAACTCTTCAGGTACTTCTTCTGTATCATTTGTTGGGTACCGGTACAGCCTGGGTACATCTTCATCAATTATCTTTTCCAACTAAAGGAACAAAACATTCCTAGTTATACCGTTCATCAAGTGTACACAGAAACATATTTATAAAGTTACAAATCCAATGGAATAAAAACGTCATCAAAAATACGTTTTCATATTGTTATTCGTGACACATTTACTACAGTCTAGAGATTGGAAATTAACACTATCTATCTATCTATCTATCTATCTATCTATCTAATTATCTATCTATCTATCTATCTATCTATCTATCTATATTGAAACTCACAAGTTGTTATGCCAATATAATATTTACAACTGAAACTGTAGGTCAATATATATGAATGTTCATACCACATTTCGGAATTCTGATCGTTCCACAGTCCTCAGCTCCTCGAGATCATCAGCAAGTATGTTCACTTGTTGGTCACCATATTCCTTCATGTCTACTGCAGGAACCGCTATTTGTATTAAACAAACATATTCATACTTTGAGTTTATACCATGGGCATCTTTTTCTCTCTGTGTGTTTGTCTGTGTGTGCATGTGTGTGCGTGCGTGTGCGTGCGTGCGTGCATGTGTGTCTTAATTCTTATATGAGGTTGGTTTCTAAACAAATACTCACGCATGGCTTTTCTTGTCACTGTCGTCTTTTCGACACATTTTGTGCTGCAATAATATGTAGTAAATTAATAATTATCTCTAGTATTCCCTCTTTCGCAACAGTAAATGCAATTAGTAATTATTCTTTCTCCAATATATTTTAATTGCTGTATGATAACTGCCTGCAAACTTATGTGACTAGTCGATGTGTATCAAGCGACACAAGTATAGAAATTTATTATTCACAAACTTATGATATCGTCTTAATCGTATCATGTTTCAAGCAAAGATTTATTATGATTATTAAAATGTTTTCATATATTATTGTCAAAAGTATCATACCTTTTAAGCTGCACCTCAGGATTCGGTTTCTAAATGAAATACAAACAATTCTATGGTCATTCACAAACCAATTTTTAACAAATGTATACTATTTATCAACCTAAGATACGAACTGTACAACACTCTCGTAAGTCTTCTTGTGATGGAGCAAGAACAGAACATTCAGTTATTTCATGAATCAGATTTTACTTTCTGTACCTGTGTTTGGATCTTCAATGCCGCATATTCAGGTCTTCGTATTCGTTTCAATGGCAGAGGTTGGTCAGCACACCACGAATCCGAAAATCTCTTCTGATTCAGAAACATATAGAAATGTATTTGTGTCCTGAGTGTAGTAACAGAATTTCAGGAGCGAATAAATTTTATATGAAATTTTGAAACAGTGTACCATTATTACTAGTTATTATGTTTAATGAATTATAGTACGAATTAAATTACGTCAATTCTATATTACCTTATGAAACCAGAAAGTGCACGTGAATACAACATGTATATAGGGTCGCATCACTTCCATGCAAACTTATGGAGATAAATTCACTGAATAAAAGTCGGCAAGCACAGACCCCGTTTTTCCGAAAAGCATGGGTTGTTGAAGACCCTTTTCTGACCCGGATCTTCACGGGTGTATTTTAGGTATGAATCATAACAGTTTGTTGTCATGGGTACTTAATGCATTATGTGCATAACACATGCATGTGTACTAGTTGGTTGGTTGGTTTGTTGTTTAACGCCGCATTCAGCAATATTCCAGTTATATGACGGCTGTCTGTAAATAATCGAGTCTGGACCACTGGACCAGACAATCCAGTGATTAATATCATGAGCATCGATCCACGCAATTGGGATAGATGACATGCATCAACCAAGTCAGGGAGCTTGACCCCCCAATCCCGTTAGTCGCCTTTTACGACAAGCATAGTCGCCTTTTACGGCAAGCATGGGTTGCTGAAGACCTATTCTACCCGGATCTTCACGGGTCGCATGTATACTAAATGTATTTTCAGTACTACATGAAATGGAATCGACCATCTAGATGTATCAGTGAAACCTCATTATGTTTTACCACTGGAACTTGCTCCCGCAGTCCGTATTTGCTTCGTATTTCCTTTGTTGTATTCTGAAATGGAACGATGTTCCAAGTAGCACATATTTTATAAGTAGAATAGAATTGCATGTGAATTACTTATTGAATATTCGAAATACGGGGATATATTTGTGACACATACCTTTGGTTAGCTTACGAACAATAAACAGTAGCGTATATGCCCATTACTGTCACAATTATTCACAGTGCACAAATAAAGTACCTTTGGTTCCACATCCTTCACTGCATTCAAAATTTCTTTGGCTATGAAAGAACGGCAACTGCTCGGGTCACACTGCAAAATATGTCATGTTTTTATTTTAAAAATAATCATTGATACATATCGTCTGTAATATAACTGCTATACATTAGAACTTCAATACACCAAAAAAACGGTCGTACCTTCTTGTCCTTGCTGCATTCGTTCCACGCATACTGAAACACGAAATCATATTCAATGTGACCATTAAATCACTCACTATTCCAGGTATTCTTTCATTTACATAAATTTAAAAAAAATATTTTCTTCATAGTAACCGTGAATAAGTCAAAGTGTAATCAGTGGCGAGAAAATATTTAATCGTTATTATTCAGTTTTGAACAACTCTTTCTAAGACCTTGCTGTACTCACTATGCATATGCAAACACCACAGCTTGTAGCATCCGTCTGTGTGGTGTACTCATGACTGACCTCTACGTTGAAGTTTGATAGGTCAATTGCATCATCTGGTACATTCTGAAGTCTGTATTCCATGTACTCCCTTTGAAGAAAAGTGCAAATGCAATGAGTTTGGACCGACAGGCAACGCAGCAGTTCATAGTAATAACGTAAGCAGCCATGTACTTGTAAGGCTATAAAACTACTTCATTTATTAATATAGATGTGGCGAAATAGGGCATTTACTTATTCAGCAACCCTACCTTGTTGTGTTGACCACGTCTTCGTCTAATCTCCGGTTCAAGGGGTCATAGAAGCGCATTCGTTTGGCTTGTACATCCAACACCTGCGTCAGAAATAAGGAGTGACAGTAACTGTTGTACGTCTATATGTGACCTTCACATAAAGGTAAACTGAAAATCAAAGACGACGCCAGGTTTTTACGAAAGGGGTAAGCATGTCTCCCCAAATGGAAGCAACTGCCATTCACACAATTTGCACAAAAACGTATGTATTTGTTGCCATCCGACGTGGGCCTGTACACAAATCTGAGGATCAAGTGATCGACCCGAAATTCAGTCACACGATTGAAATCCAACACACGCCCACACACTTCGACGTGAGTCACACAACTACACACATACGATAGGCACCATTCATGTGTGGTCAATATCTGTCTCAAATACCTAGGAAATACAACTTACCAGCAATGTCCAATGGCTTCCATGTCTGTGAATCGGTATAAACACTTTCTCTGCTTCCGAGAGTTTTTACTGAAATACAACGAACATGGTCCTTTACATTCGGAACAATACTCAAATACCTACAATCTACAGTACAGGACTAAGGTTGTGCTGTCTCACGGCATTGTGTACTTAATCTCAGCCTACAAACGGTATCTCATGTCGTCCCTTGAACATCTCTGGTATCATATGTATTAACAGGCAATCGGTTGTTCACATATATTATTGAGGACATTAAATTTTGTTTTCTTTATTAGTGTAGCGAGTCTTTCACAGTAGCCTATGTTGTTGTGTTGTGGCAATTTTCAGTTAGCCATAAAATATTTAATTGAATAAAATATCACTGGTAAATTATATCTATGTTCATCTCATGTACATAGTTCGTTTCCATGTCATTATGTTAAAACATTAACCATCAAAAGAACTGCATCTATCTTCTATTAAAACGTTTCTTATGACATTCACTGCCCATATATATCTGACAACTGAAGACAGTATAACAACATGCATCCATCTTGAAAACATACCTTTTGTTTCATACCGTACCTCATATTATATTGTTAATCTAGAAGTAGTTCCAACAGTAGCATGTACATGATTAAAACGTCGCCATATACCTAGACTATTGTTTATTGTGGCATTACAACAACAAACAACATAATATCCCGTCTTAAGGTTTCATATATGTGCAACGATTAGACTTGACATGTATCCAGTTACCTGTTGCTACATTAAGGGAATGTTTGTCTTCATCAACTTTATTCAATTCATTCAATTCATTTCCTCAATATGTCGGCGTCTTTCGGCGGTTCAGAAACTCTTCCAGTGCATCTTATCTCACTTATGATACTGTCAATTTCAGAAAACGCTTTTTCTTGAAGATTTAATTTTCTTTTCTCAATAATGACAAGCCTTGCAAGGCTAGGCGATTCTTATTCACCAACCGACAGTGAATGATATCTTTTCCTCAACGTCATCTTCGAAATATTCTTCTCTTTACCCATTCCCACTTTATGACAAATAGAGAATACTAAACGAGCTCCTTTGTAATACTTATCGTATGAAACGAGTGAATAGTTCTGGTATCTCACGATCGAAAGGGAGTCCGATACAAGAAACTATTCACGAGTTTCATAAAAATGTTATTAAACAGGAGCGAGCTTAGTAATTTATTTATTACTTGCCGTTTATAACTTTTCTAAATATGTTACTGACCCACTTTTACAAATATGGAAATGTCATAGAACAAACCAGATGATGTCATACTTGGGTTTTGACTATTTGTTCGGATAGGGATAGGTGACGTCATGTTCAATAGTGACGTCATCTGGTTTGTTCTATGGCGTTTCCATATTTGTAAAAGCGGGTCAGTGACATTCGTGTTGATTGCAGTAAATGTTTCAAAACCGATATCGTTGATTCTTTTTATTTGATAACAAATTCCATCCCTTTTAGCTATTATAACGGTAACGCTATTTTTCAGGGCATTATCATTTGCAGAAACCCTCGGTCTTAATGGAAGACCTCGGGCTTCTGCAAATGATAATGCACTGAAAAATAGATTTACCCTTATAGTAACATAAACTTACGTCTGTCGTTGCTCTACTATCGACTTGTGGAACAGGATGCTGCATCAAAAAGATTACAACACGTCACAATACCCTCTGACGTAATATGTAGAATATTGTTACAAGATCCAACCACGAAACAATGTCATGTGACGTCAGCATAGCATCAGGGTTGAGAGGGTCATTGCGTGTGCACACCCTCTCAGTGATCTATCGTCACTACACGCAATGTCGTTGAATAAGCCCAGGGATGTTGGGAGTTTTCAATATTTGTTACTGAAACTTGTTCCCGCAGTATATAAGCACGCGCTTTGGTATTATACAACGTGTTATACAGCTGTATGTTTATTAAACGGGTGATCTCTTTACGGGCGAATAAAAAAACTATATATTCCCTTGGCATATTTTGTCTTCAGTTTAAAATTGTAACTGCAGATATTTCTAAAAAGCAATTCTGACCTTTTGAACAAGTGGCGCCCGGCGTCTCCTTTTGGACTTGAAATGTTGCCATCCCTCTATAACTTGGCTTGATAAAGCTGCGTTTCTCTGCTTACCCCGAAACAAATAACATATTCTAAAATAGCAAGTGATATATTCAAGGACGAATATTGTTTTGGTATTTGCACACATTATCACAATTTGTAACAAAGTTGATTAATCTATTAATGAATGACATGGCATCTTGTAAACATATCTACATATCATTTTGTACATATCATATGTATATATCACGGTATGTTGAATATCCTGTCACTTACCCCCCGCCTTTGACACAGCACATACAAGAAGACGTTTATTATCTGCAAAGAAACATAATATTATTAACGTTATTGTTCCACTTTATCACCGTTTAATAAATGTACTTCATGTGTATACAGTGGTGTACACATACCTGATCATTTAACCAGCCCACAGTCCATCTGGTCTCTTTGTCAATTTTCACTCTCAGCTGGTCTTCTGTTTCTTTCGGAAGTATTGGTGCTATTGTCAGAATATCCAATTTTGATATTCGGTAGGGACCTATCGTCACTACTATTTCGTCCAATCTTCTGTCATCATTACAGATATCTTGAAACTGAAAAACATACAACAAATTATATCTATATATCAAAGATATCATTGTATCCGCCAAGTTTATATTTCCTTTATATATTGTAAGTGTACTTAGTTATAGGTTACAAGTAACAGTTAAAGTTAAACCGCCCTGTAATAACAAACATTATTACATGACTCTCTACCTTAAGGCAGTTCGTCCTGTATCGTAAGCATATTTGTAAAGACGAAAATATCAATATGTTTCATCACACTCACCACATCCTCCGCTGGCAATGGTGATGAATCTGCTTGCGCGGTGGAATATTCCACTTGTCCTAAAATAACAATGACGGATTGTTTCGGCAACAGCTTGCTAAAATGACATATACGTCATGTATACTTTTTTTATTACTTGTACTTATATACATTGTAAGTGATTCCATGGCATTTCATTGACTAACCAAGGAATTTTAGGCGGAAACAATTACCGAAAAATATTTAGGTCACTAACGAACAACTGTGTTATGATTGGCTTATGAAGTGTGTGCGCTGTTTTAGCTCGAAATGTTGGCTACATTTGTTTGTTTAATGAACAGTCTGTGAAGTTACTATCGTTGACGTACTTATTTATGCTTATGTACACAGTGTGCAAACCGGTTTTTACCTTTATACCAACATAAAAGCAAAAGATATATATTGAAGTTAATTCTTAAATGTAACACGTCAACGACAGCGATTAACCAGTCTCGATAATCTGACGAAACAGATTCCACTGGGCGTAAAAGGCTCAATAGTGGTGATAGTTAAAGGAAATATTCCGCGTTGTATGCGGTTGTATTAGATTCTATACTTTGTATTTATTTAGAATAAGTCGCCAGCGCTTGTCTTAAGAGACGACTAAAATGTATCGGATGATAACACTTATTATGCCAACCACTGGCCCAGGTTCTTGAATTAGAAGAATTGATATAGAAGAACTGTTGGTGAAAGCAAATGTGTGGCAAAAGTGGGTACTTATTTCATATTTGATCTTTTAGTTACTTATACATGAAACCCGTATGAATGAAAATATTGAATATAGAATACTTACCAGCACGTTGGAAATCTAGACTTTGATAATGTGCTTCATGATAGTGACCTAACATAATAGCCGCTCCTGGTCCACCACATATCATTACAACATTGCTGTCGGACGCGGTTCCATCTTCGGAACTTGTGAAAACGGCAATGTCCTTTTTGAGAAACTGCGATGTTCTCTGTACTACAAGGTGATCAACGTATTCACCCGGTGTAGACATGGCCTCCAAGTAAAGGTTCCAGGTTTTGTGCCGTTGCACATCGACAAAATTGGATAGGTGTGTGCCTCCTTCCTATAGAAAACATGTTTATATAATTGACGTTACACAAGCAGGTTTGGTAGAATTTTAATTAGTAATTCATCATATATCAATATCAATTTTAGGGTGTGGGTGTAGTATTGTGGCTGAAACGTTTGCTTGTCACGCCGCAAGCCATTGTTACATTTCCCACATGAGTACCATCTATGGATCTAATTTCTGAGGTCATCAACGGTTCCATTGACCGGCTAAAACCACGATCACTCTCTGAAATTAAACACCTACATGCGCCTTAAACTCTAATCATAGCGAGGTGAGGTTGAATGGGGCGAGGAACAAGGAGCTGTCATCTATTCGCTGTGCAGAGTTACGTCCATTAACCATGTTAGAAAATACCGACCATGTACACAGCTATAGAACTGACCTTATCCTCCACTTTAGTCGGCATGTTTTATGCCAGTCGTGGAACTGCCTTGTCCAGCGAAATTTCGTACCTCCACCTGAACCCCACTGAATACCTGTGTTATGAATTTGAATGATGTGCGCAGACATCCTGTATCATCTGTATTCACTTATCGAGTGTATCTGCACCCGAAGGGCAACCCCAGTACCCTCACCAGACCAATAACACGTAACATATGCACAAATATATGGTCCGGTGTGCACTTACATAAGGATACCTCCGTAGGCTGTCAACTACTGCCATCCTTAGTCCCCTGTGGTCAAACACAGATCTGGTATCGAGGCGTTGAAGCTGATCTACAACTGCGTGGAAAAAACAGTTGCCATCTCCGGGAGTTCTCCCTCTAAAACGCAGCCCGTGTTCGGTTACCGAGGCCAGAAGTCGTTCTGATGTCCCTTGGCAAAACGTTGTCACGTTTGATGGACTAGCCTTCTGCAGTGCTTCTTGCAGTTGTTTCAAGGTAACTTTGTGATCTGTATCATACAAAAGTACAATAAAAAGTAGGCAATATGTGTGTGTGTGTATATATATATATATGTGCGTGCGTGTGTGTGTGTGTGTGTGTGTGTGTGTGTGTGTGTGTGTGTGTGTGTGTGTGTGTGTGTGTGTGTGTGTGTGTGTGTGTGTGTGTGTGTGTGTGTGTGTGTGTGTGTGTGTGTGCACATGTATCAATCTAGGCACGGATCGAGTCTATAGTCTGTGTGTGCATATCTTTAAATATTATGTTCACTAGGATGAGTCGTAACGAGGATATTCCATCACTGCCATACAGTCAAACACTTGTATGCAGAAACCCTAAGTTCAAGATGAAAATGCCCAAATGATCAATACTGACACTTCTCAATTCTTCGTGATAGAGAATTCCCAGGAGTTTCCCATGGGGATGTGGAAGAAGTCCGCCATTGTTTACGACAATTTCTGAAATACAGTCTCATGAAGACATGCATCTAAATTTCAATGTGTGTTGTTCATACGCTTATAAACGTCAGTTTCGTGGTCATGTGACCGGCCTCTTGACATGATATGTGACTTCATGACATGTGAACTTCACATTAAAACATTATATTAATGTGTTAAAAAATACATGCAGGTCAACAGATTCATCAGTGAAATGACTAATATTTGATGCCGCTGTTAGCACTATTCTAGCAATATCCCATACAGGGACATAAGACATTTGCTTCATGCATTTCCCACGTGTGAAATCGGACATTGACCATCGGGAAGAACACCGACCTCTAGGGTACCACACTGCCCAACAGATACATAAATGTTACTTACATTTGAGCGATATTTTCTTGTGCTTCTGTGCGTCTTCAGTCCTCGTCCAAAGGTCTGTTTTCTCTGTAAATATGAAAGGTCAACACCAGAACGATTATCTCGATTATCCGACGAAGCAGATTCCATTGGTTGTAAAAGGAACAATAGCCTTGAAAATTATATGAATGGATCACTGAAAAACAACAGATAAAGTTTAACATACCATTGTAAAAGTTCAAATAAAATACAACAAGAGCCTTTATTATTTCTTGTCATCTAACTTATAATTAGACATGGCACGTAATGGATGCTAAATCATGCTGCATGTTTAGGTACATGTATGTCAACATGTTAGAAATAAATTGTATCAATTTACCTTCTTTTTCTGCTGCATTGTCCAAATCTGGAAGGTAAAATGTCACTTTGGAAATGAAATACGACGCTTGTGCGTGCTGATTGGCGTATATCGTCAAAATAATGTCAACCTATTATATTGTATTCAATTTCTTCATATAGACGGTGGAGTACCCTAGTGGTTAAAACGCTTGCTGGTCACGCTGAAGACCCGGGTTCGATTCCCACATGTGAAGCCTATTTCTGGTGTCCCTCGCCGCAATATTGCTGGAATATTGATGAAAGCGGCGTAAAACCATACTCACTCACTCGCTTCCCAATAAACGTCATATATGATCATGTCATAGAATGCCACTTATAAGTTCTTACCTGAAAGATGCAGGCGGCCAAACTTGTCATGACGTATTTCACCATACGAAATGTCTGTGTTCAGTTTTCCTTTGATTGCTTCTGTCATTTTCCTGTTTGTATGTTCATTGTGAAAATGTAGAAGCAATCGCAGGACAAACATGTAGTTACCCGGCGACATCGAATCTAGAAAGTAGTTGTTCCGGTTCATTTCCCTGTGCAGCTGCTCTTCAACTTGTGAATTTATTGAGCCCTTCATTTCGGGAACAAACGTTATACGCCTTAGGAGTTCCTCATCTGATTTTGTATTCCCTTCATGAAACCTATCCAGCAAACAGAACGTTTCATTTGAGGTTGGCAATTCATTGTCGGAGACTGGTGCTACTGTCACCCATTCCTTCATGCAAGGTATACTCTTTGAAAATACCCCCTCCTTAGCTTTTTTTATGTTGTCTGCAGTCGCTTCACCCAAGCGTCCTTCGTTGGGCGAGAACATGTTCTTCCGCCGCTTGTTACCATGGCGTGACATCATTGGGGCTACGTCACTAATGATGACTGGCGGTTGTCTTGACATAGATAGAATTATGTCGACATGGTCTCTGACACTTTCAGGCCTCAGAATAGCTTTGAACGCGTACACTATTCTATGGGGGCAGGACGCTGATACCCATCCACCTGAATGAACATTAACATAGTGATGGGACACATTTGGTTTAACCTTGCTTTTAATAGTATACTATATCCTCCAGTAGTCAGAATGTGCTCGGATCCGAGCAGAGATTGTGGAGTTTCAAGTTACAAAATGACATTCCATTAACAGACTCAGTGCTGGTTCTTATGCAGAGGGGGCTGGGGATGGCTTATCTTGAAGACATTTAACGAAAATAATATTACCAAGCAAAAGCCACTGTGTTACAAAGTAAGTAGTTATTTTGCATCATTTGGTCTGGCACTTGAATGTGGGAACACACACAGCGTACACATACATTGAACAATACCCTAAATTGCATGTTTATATTAATAATATGTTTTATTCATCATTTTAAATGCAATAGTAGGCATAATTACCAGAATGGCCCCATATGCTTGAAAATAACTTGTTGAAGGTTGATTTGCTTTTCAACTTTTCCTTCAAGCTGTTGATCATCTCTAATTTGGTCCCTTTGGCGTCTACTTCCATCTTTGTACACCAGTGCCGTACATCCAGAACCTACATGATATGATATAGAAAATGTCGAAAACATGAGTGACTATGCTTATCATATCATATCATATCATATCTCAATTTGTAATATTACTACCTACGCATATCAAGATTGCAAGAATTATACAAATGTGCCTAGTTGATATCAATAAGGCCTTTCGATTATGTCATATTTACCTTCTTTTCACATAACATTTGGATCAGGAAATCTTCAGTCAGTTCCTTATCCCCTGTATCAAAATCTGTATCTTGAAGATGGGTTCTGAGAGATCGTACTTTTTCAGCTTCAGTGTTGAAAGCATTTTCATCTTTTCTGGCTAATCCAACGAAAGGAGCCCAGTTGTCATAACTAGGTGTAACACGCCCGACGTTGGCTGCTTCTGCCAGGGAATGAAATGATAAATACATTATAGTGTATATAAACAATATCCTTACAGTAAGTTTAATTTTAGTTCCCCCCCCCCTCTCTCTCTCTCTCTCTCTCTCTCTCTCTCTCTCTCTCTCTCTCTCTCTCTCTCTCACTCACTCACTCACTCACTCACTCACTCACTCTCTCTCTCTCTCTCTCTCTCTCTCTCTCTCTCTCTCTCTCTCTCTCTCTCTCTCACACACACACACACACACACACACAGACAAGATGAGTCATTTATAATACAATATGAGGATTTGCACCTTTTCCAAAACCTCGAAGTAAAATAGACGCCTCCACCGTTTGGCTCCAAAACACATCCATGTTGATTCCATCTGTAGCTGTTTCTGTCCCTGGTACTTGTGACACTGTAAGCAATACATGTTTACCATAACAGACGAGAGAACAGGGATAAGGAAACATCATTATGGGATATTGTTTGTGATCAACCATGAGATAATGGACCTTACATTTTTGCTTTCCATTTTTATATTTTGAAACTACATCGTTAATGCGCTTATACATTTCTTAGACACTGGAAGTTATAAAATAGACTTACATGCTAATGGAAATGCACATTTCCTATTTGCATCTGTCACCAGGCAACATGGAAAACGGCCACAGATGTCACAGGTAAAGTTGTACTTGTGATCGCACATTGCCTCAAAGTGCAGATATCCCTGTAACATTTTGTCACCGGGGAAATGTAAGCCGGAATCTTCTGATAAGATGTCGGCAGCCCTTCCTACGGCTGTATGATTCTGAAACCATTAAGCAGGCGAAATTTATCACATTCATTATGCCGATATTTTAAACTAATCCTAAGTTAACAGTCAAAAGTGTTTAAAGTCCGAATGTCACCGGCCCACATCAAGTGCATATATCAACAAACAATGCGCCATACAACAATCAGATATCACGATCACATAAATATGCAAAGTGTTGTTTTGGAGAAGGGAGTCGTCCATAAACTAACTAAATTAGGTATAATGTACCTTCAAGTTAACTCTGAACCAGTGGCACAGGCGAACTGACAGGAACACGTGGTCGTCAAAATTGTGTATACCATCCCTGTGCTCTTGGTACCTGTAGAAGTGACCGCACGCTTTGCACTTCTTTATGAAAACAGCTATATCTGACAATGAAATAATGTAATTAAAACATTGTAGAGAAAAGTCATATTCAAAATCATACTATTATGATACACTATACAGACAATCGCAACCTTGTGTTTTTTATGCCAACTATATCAACACGGTTCAATAACAGTTTAAATCGCCATAGCTTGCCCAGTTTCCATGGTAGACAGATTAGTTATGCCATTAGATAGTTATGTTGTGACAACTTATGACGTCACAATAGTCTGGAGAGCATTATGATGCAGTTTCATTGAAGCAATATGTCCTAGGTAATATCGCATCATCTCACCCAAGCAATATCACCTGTCGGATTACAAATTACAGTCCACATTCATAAATTGGCTCTCATTTGCTAGGAAGTAATTTTCATTTGTTTGCATAAATTGTTGTAAGGTATTTACGGTCACCATACATACCTGTATACACATGACCTTTATCGTATATCTTCCCCTTTCTGGTTACCAGATACTGGTCAAGTTCTCCTCCATCTGCACACATTACACAATGTGTTTCGATAGGCGACAGGTTTTCTAGATGTCCTAATTGGGCATTTTCCGGAACTTTAAAATCTGGTGGTATTTTCTTCCTGGACATTAGATAATTGGCCATTAAACGTGCACCTTGTCCGGATGGTGGGTATGTCTTACAGAAGCTGCTTCCGGAATCTTGTAAGGTTCGGGTTTCAAAGGTGACCGATGTTGTTGGTTCCTCGCTACGATAATGTCCAACTGATACCCCTTCATTCTCACTACAGATGTAACCGCTTCCCTTGGAGCTAATGTGCAGCAACTCTGGGTGTTCCTGTGCCAAATACCATTTGACAAGAGTCTTGTGTACGCAAGATTTGGTGGTTTTACAGCAAACGCAATTCAGCTGTCCTTTGTCCTTGAAGAATGTGACTACAGCGCGACCGAGTTTAGCCCAGTATTCCTTCGTTCCATCATACACGGAGAAATAAACGCTGTTTACAGAGTGCTTCTGCTCCCATAAAACGACGACAGGTATTTTGCTTTGTTCTGCAGTGCCTACAAGCTTCTGGGCAACCTGCATGTTAGTAGAATGTATTACCTTCTGTTGACAAAGATTTTCAGCATGTTCTGACTGGAGGTGTACTTCTTTCGGGCATTCACTTGCAAACATAACTGATTGCAAATGGGGGCACTGATAAATACCTACATTGCCCCTTGCTGCAACACCCAAAGCTAAATTGCAATTTTCATGTTCACATTGTATCTGCTGTGTGACAGTGTTCATTTGTACATGAAGTGGGTAATCTGGACCGATACTGGACTTGCTGATCATGTAGAGACCGCGGTGTTTATCAACGCATATTCCACGTTGGTATGACTTGGTTTTCAATTCATCCCGTGCATTGTGTGTCTCAATATGTCTTTTAATGTTTTTCTTAGAGATCATTGCATTGCAGACAAAACATGTCTCTTTCGGAACTTGCTCTCTCTTCACTTTTTGGATGTTAGGGGACTCTGCTGAAGTTCTTTCCTCAGAAGCTGTCTGGTTTGTTGTCAGAACAAAAGGGCAAACCGTGGTCGTGTGTCGGACAAATGTGAACTTTCTCCGAAAGAGTTTACCACACGGGCAGTGGTAATGGCACCGGTCTTGTTTCGGAGTACAATCCAAAAAGCAGCTTAACACCCATAAATCTGCAAGGACACAAATACGGATTATTATACCGGACCGCCTCCGTGGTCTAGTGGTAGAACGTCCGCCCGGTGAGCGGAAGGTCCGGGGTTCGATCCCCGGCCGCGTCATACCAAAAGATGGTACTTGTTGTTAACATGTCTGGCGCTCGGCATTAAGGTGCTAAAACAAGGACTGGTCGGCTCGGAGTCAGTATGCTGTCTCTGTGTGGGGTATTCATGTTAAACTGAGGCATGGTATCTTAGTGAGCTAGCACTATAAAACGGCATCAGTCCGGACCAGTACAAGCAGCCACTCACACAAACACGTGCATGCACGTCACTAAATAGTGCAATAATCTTCGAGGCGACGTTAAACCCCATTTTACCTCACCTCACCTCACTGTTATACCAGATAAAATGGTGCGTTGGGCTTGTGAGGTTGTGTAATGGACACCGTTTTACACGTATGCGTAATGCCACGTATACGCTAGGTACATACCACGCAATATTAGATTAATAACAAACACCAATTTATACATACCCCCAACTTTGACGGCATGTTGTGTGTGCTTGTTTATGTGTCCTTCCTTGACATTGTACCGCCGTGACGTTGATTCTGGACACAGTTTGCACTGGAATATTCCATCAACTTTAGCCAGTAAACTCTTACATGTGCCGAGCTCTTTTGTGTGCCATATGTCTTCATTCTGTAGACAAAGGTAGAAAGTGTAAAATCAACAAGTTTTCAAAAGAAGTCCTATTTTTCTATTGCTTGAGACTCCAGGACACTGAGTGGTGTAAAGCCACTTACATTTATGAGTACTAAATGAAACATAACGCGTCGATATCCATTATCTTCGCCGTGCATTTATGAAAACCTGTAACCAACTGAAGGTAGGGTGCTACAATGTCTAGGTTACATGGCCACTGTAGATAATAATACTCACGTTTGTTTCACAACGTCCATGCCTGGAAGAAATAAAATAATGACAATATATAAACATTTGAAGAAATGTGTACAACCATTAGAATTCTTAAATTTATGTTAACACTGTTACCAGTTTTTAGCACAAGGTGTAGGCAGTTTCAACTAGAACCAATGTCTTTATAACTAGGAATATATGCTCTTGGTTTATGTATATCACAATTCCATTAACGAGTTTCAGCCATCTCTTTCTATAACCATATATAGTACGAACAATATAGTTAACATATACCATTACTTTAATTTTCTTATTTGTGTGTTAGTGAGTGAATGAGTGCGTGCGTTCGTGTGTTCGTGTGTACGTGTGTGTGTCTATGCAAACGTCCCAATTGAAATAGCCTGAAAACTTAGTGGCACATCTGTGAGGCTCACATGTTTCGCATCGAAAAGGTTTAATATACGGGTTTGAAATATTATAAATATTATTATCTCTTTCCTTTACCATTTAGGCATAAAATAACTTTAAAACAGTCGCTCTATACCCCCTTTTAGAAACTATATTGCTTCCCTTTACTACATGGGGTTGTCTATGCAAACGTTCTTATGGAAATAGCCTGAAAACTGAATGGCACATCTGTGAGCCTCGCATTTTTCGCATCGAAGTAGTTTAAAATACGTATTTGAAATACTATTTTCTCCTTCCTTAACTGTTTAGGCATAAATAACGTAAATGTATTCGCTCTACACCCCGTTTGGAACGCTGAAATACGGGTTTAAAATAGTATTAGTTCTTTTCACATTCATTTAGGCATCAAATAACTTAAAAAGAGTTGTTTAAAAACGCACTTTGGGAAGATATATAGCTTCGCTTTGACACGATCATCGATCCCGATTGCGTGAAGAGATGCGCATCATATTAATTACTGGATTGTCTGGTCCAGACTCGATTATTTACAGACCGCCGTCAAATAGCTCGAATATTGCTGAGTGCAGCGTTAAACAACCAAACAACCAACCAACCCAACCAACACGAGGGGCTGTCTATGCAAATGTCCCTTTGGAAATGGCCTGAAAACTTAGTGGCACATCTGGGAGCCTCGCATTTCTTGCATGCAAATAGTTTACAATACGTGTTTGAAATACAATGTTCACCTTCCTTAACTAGTTAGGCATAAAAAAAGTAAACGGAATCGTTCTGTGCCCCGTTTGGAAAACTATATTTGAAATACTATTTTCTCCTTCCTTAACTATTTAGGTATAAACAAACGTAAAAGGAGTCTCTCAATACCCCCCTTGGAACACTATATGGCTTTCCTTTAACACGGGGGAGATTATCTACACAACATCCCTTTGGAAATAGCCTGAAAACTTAGTGGCAAATCCAGGAGCATGGAAATAGTTTCAAATGCGGGTATGCAGCATTATTATCTCCTTCCTTCCATAAGAATGTTTAATGACATAACATAACATAACATAACATAACATAACATAACATAACATAACATAACATAACATAACATAACATAACATAACATAACATAACATAACATAACATAACATAACATTATGTAAACATAACATGAGAAAAAGTAATATTCAAATGAATGTATTTTACATAAAAAGAACAATAGATACTCATTTCCACTGCGCATATGATAAAGTCAAACCTAAACGCCCTTCACCCTACCGTCATTCAATACGTATTGTCCCCGACATGAAAGATACGTGGAGTGCTCTTCTTTATGAAATTTTAATATTTTACGTTTCACATGCGAGCACATACTAATCGAAAACCATTTGAAACCCATTAAACAAAACTCTGGACATATTATACCCGCTAACATGGAGAAAAGAAACGCCTCTATTTTAATAAATTACTAAAAACTAACACGTGACAATGTACATGTTTCCCAAAGTGGCATTTTGAAAGCAAATCCTGCTTCCTTTCCACGTTGCACGAAAATTTAAAAAAATAGTACGTACCTTGCA